GATCTGGTTTGGAAGAAGTGTAGCCAGAGTGCTCCTTAGAGGCCAGGATGGCCAAACTTCGTTTCTCACACTTCGGACATATTGTCAGGAGGGACCAGTCTCTGGAGAAGGATATAATGTTTGGTAAGGTGGAGGGACAGAGAAAGAGAGGAAGAACCCCCCCAACGAGATGGATTGGTCAAGTGGCAGCATTGATGGACTCAAGCGTGGCAACAGTAGTGAGGTTGGCCCAGGATCAGGCAGTGTTTCATTCTGCTGTGCATAATAAGGTTGCTATGAGTCAGTACCAACTCGATGGCACCTAACAACCGCAACAACAAATGTAGTATCTCAGCAGGGAGAGGGAACAAAGGAAATCCTAGGCTGATACCACATACTATTACTTTCTTTGTTACTTACTAACATTCTGTCAACTGTAACCATATTTAGAGTTAAGTGAAATATTTTATTCAAAGAAACAAGGAGGTCATTCTAGAAGTCTAAAGCACTGGATTTCAAAGTCAGTTTCAACTGTAAGTTCAGTGGTTCAACCTTAAACCATGACCCTAAACTTCCAAACTAAGGAACCAAATCCCATGCAATGTTTGGTTGAACATAGGCAGCCTCAGCAGCTACTATTTTTTTGGTTATTGTTATAAATATATCACACAATTTTGCCAATTCAACTTTTTACAGGTATATAACATATTGATAGCAATTATAATTATTTACCCATAATCAATGCAATTTCTTCATCACCATTTATCCTCCTTTCTCCCCTCCCCAGTATCTAATAAGCTTTGATCTCTATTTACCTTTTCTAATTTTTTATTGTGAATTGAGTTCATCAGTCCCACATTCAACAAATCATACAATTTGTATCATTACAATGATTGCAATCCCTTCCATATACTATCACTTAATAGTATTGACCTTTGTCCACTTTTAACTCTTGCACTCCTCGTCTTCCACTAACTTCATCTTTCCTGTGCCAGCTTCCCTCTTGTTGTATCTTGCTGTCCCATCATCCAAGTTAACATGTGTCCACCCCTCTACACAGTGAATAATTTTTCCTTCCCTCCCACCCTTGATAACCATCACAGAATGTGTTTTAGCAAGACTATCTTATCTTTTTACAGCAGCAGTCTCATACAATATTTGTCCTTTTGTGATTGGCAAATTTCACTCAGCATAATGTCCTCCAGGCTTATCCATGGTATGAGATGTTTTCAAAGATTCATCATTATTCTTCAACATTGCATAGCATTCCATTGGTATATGTACCAAAGTTTGTTTAACCATTCTTCTGTTGATGAGCATTTAGGCTGTCTCCATCATTTTGCTAATGCGAATTGTGCTGCATTGAACAGGGGTGTGCATATATCTATTCGTGTCATGGCTCTCATTTCTTGAGGATATACACCAAGTAGAGGGGTTGCTGGGTCATACGGTATTTCTATTTCTACACTGTTTCCCACAGTGGGTGCACCATTTTACAGCCCCACCAGCAGTGTAGGAAGGTCCCAGTCTCTCCACATCCTTGTCAACATTTGTTTTCTGTTTTTTGGAACTTTGTTATCAATGCTGGGATAAGAAGATGTCTCATTGTTGTTTTGATTTGCATCTTTCTAACAGCTAATGAAGAGAGTAAAAAGTCATTAAGAAGACAAGAAAGAAGGAAAAAGTCAAAGTGGATGTCAGAAGAGACTCCGAAACTTGCTCTCCAGCATAGAGAAGCTAAAGCAAAT